ATATATATATATATATATATATATATATATATATCTGTCAACAAATAACAAAATATCGTCCTGGCGTGAAGAACAGAGCATGAAAAGAAAAGTTTGGCAAAGGAAAACAAATTTTATTCCTCCCCTCGTTCTCCGCCTTGAAAAGCATCTTTCCGTTTTCACATAATCATTGCGTATTAAATTCGCTTCGCATAATTTTGTCAAGAATAAAAATAACAGCAGCTTTCGAAAGTTCAACCATACAAAGTAGGACGAACGAAAAGGAATCATTAATAGGAATGGTCGGTCGACGACAAGCTAATAATGAACGACTTTTTTTTATTTTCCTTCGAAAGCTTCTTCTGCCTTCAACCGGGACGCAATGATTCGGCTCGAAAAAAAAAATAACGTAAAGAAGTTCAATAAATCATCGTATTACAATACAGTTGGCATTATTTTCTACCCTCGCTGTCTTTCCCTGAACTTGTGAACCGTCCTTGCTCAATAATTTTTTAATTTATCATAATCAAAAGCCCGACTTGATCTGTTCTCGTTAAACTGAGAAAAATAAGAAAAATAAAGTTTAGATGAGAATGAAATAGCAAAAAAGCAAAAATAAGAAATTTTACGCTAGCATTAAGTATGCAAAATTCTCATAAATAGGAAACTCGTTGGTCTTCTCGTCATTGGTTTTATTCTCTATACATATTTATGATGGTTGCGTTTTGAAAGAAACTCGTAAAACATTTAGGAAATAAATGGGGATTTTATTTGATGTGACAATGATAGAAGAAGCGATTTTTGTTACCAGCAAAAAAGGAGAGTAAGAGAGAGAGAGAAAGAGAGATGGTGAAGGCTTCACCGTGAAGCTAAAAAAACCAACAAAAAAGTTCTCCTTCATCTCCCTTCTTTCTAGGCTATTGTAAGTATGTGCTCATCATATGCGATGATAGCGCGTATCTATATGTATAGATCTTTTTCTACATAAAATCTTCTGAACATTGATGCTTGTAGCAAACCGTAAAAAATTCTGCCTTGAAACAAAAACCAAGCTGGAAAAAGCAACAAAAACAATAACAGTAATTGAAAGACAATCTTCCTTTGATTGTTATGGTCGTTTGTGCTTTTAAATTACTTTTCTACGGAATTATATTTCATACACCCACATTTACTCTTCATGGATTTATTCAATGTCTCCAGAGTATCAACATGTCAACTTCAATTCTCCTCCACGCTACGTCACTGCATAAAGATATTTACATTTAAAGCTTTTTTTTTGGAAGATATAGAAAATAGATGTGTTACTGATGTGTCATCATGGTGATGTTCTTCGTTGCTATCAAATAATAATAACGATGATTATGATCGGATTTCAGGAGTTTTTTTCTAGTGGGAGAGTCTAAGTCGCTGCAAATTGCGTTTTGGTGAGTGGGAAATCTGAGAAAATATTGTCACAGCTAAGAAACAAAAGAGAATCGAAGAATCGAAAGATGAAAAGAAGGAAATAGATTGACAAAATTCATGAAATGCTTCAACCCACAAAATTGAGTTCAACTCGGTTGGCCTTCCATAACTCTACCGTAAAATAAAGCTGCAACGATACAGTAATGTCAGCAAGAAAAGAGCTGATTTTTTAAGACACCTCCCTTTAAGAAATTCCTCTATAAATTCCGATAGAGATCACTCACATGCCTTCTTCCTTTCTTTCTGGTACTTGTGTTTCATTGGTGAAAATGGTGAACGACAAACGATTTCCCAGTTTTCCAAATACATATAAAAAAGGTTGAGCTTTTCATTAATCAGAAAGAAGATTTATTCTCTGTTTTTCTTTTTGATGGTTAAGTTAAATTAGAAAAAAAACACTGGAAAGTATTTTTTTCATCCTTCATTCATATATATTCACGTATATTAGCAATGCTTTCAATTCTACTAATGTACATAGAAAATATTCACAGAAAATATTCACCGCTTTTGTGCCGATTAAACCCTTCAGAATTCAAGATAATTAAATTTTCAAGCATATTTGACTGAGATTGTAAGTGCAATTTTAATTTAAAAGTTTTTCTCGGTTCCTTTTCGAAACTAAAAACTTACAAATACACAAAGTTTACAACTATTAACCGACATCACTTATAGGACTGTCGAACTGAACAGTGTTCTCGACTTTATTTCATGCTTCTACAATTTGTTTTCTTCTTCTTAGCGAAAAAAAATAACAAATTTTATTCCAAACTTTTCTCATACCGAATCTTTGACATGAGAAGCGTGGAAGATAAAACGGTCTTCGTCTATTTGCTGGTGCTTTAAAAAAGTTTTTTTAAGAAACGAAGAGACTTTGCAGATACTTGTATGGTGAAATAAAATTAGAATTCATATGAGAAGAAAACCTTGAAGCAACATGTTTGATGAAAAATTCTTTGTAAATTCTTAGCGTGGAAATTCAACCTCCACAGTCAACCGACAGAAATGCACAACCAAAGAAGATTAAAGACGAGAAAAACAAATTCTAAGCCAGCTTGAAACGAAGAGCGCAATTTCATATTCACAATTCAAGTTTTAAGAATGTTTACCATCTCTTTAGGCATTTTCAATGTGGATTCCTAAAAATGTCTCTTTCAAAGATTTTTTTCAACGCAGTTGAAGCTTATATAGTGAAAAGATCTAAAAATTACATCAGAAAAGCATAAAGTTCGTCTTCAGAATTCAGTATTCACTCTCTGAGACTTGTTTTCAATTGAAAACGGATAAAACATCAACAGTACTTCGGTTATCCTCTAAAGTTGTCAAGCTGTGTATTGAACGACCTTTAAATTTACGACAAAGCCACTCGTCGTAGTTCTTTGGTAGAAAAGAGCGTCACCCTTCATGAAAATTTTCTTTTTCTTTTTCTGATTCTCGTAAAAGAATCCTTCTCAAGCTGTGTCCTATCAAGACGGATTTTCTTTTTCCAATAAAACTGGATTTTGGTCGTGTACAGAAGACATTTCAAGAGACGAACTTTTTTCCTGTTCTCTCGCTTTCTACAATCATCCTAAACAAATATATGCTAATTTTAAGGTCCCGTTCATCGAACGAATGTGAAAGTTGAAGCGATGAAATTTGAATATAATATATTTTGCAAACTTGCCTTCAAGATGGCAAATATCTTTCACAGCAAGGATATTATTTTTCTCGTTTATTTTGCTTATTTTTTAATTCGTTTAACTAAAATATAAAAAGCTTACCTACATTTATTTGTTTGGATAAGTATTTCAGAAAATATTTCTATTTCTTGAATATCTAATTTTGATTCCGCGTTTCGTTTAAATAATTAATTTATACAACATAAGTTTTCATTGCTTAATCAGAATTATTTGATTTATCATTTGAACTTTCGGAATACTAATAATTCTTAGGAAAATTTCTAATCGATCAAAACATTTCAATCTTTAATCAATAGCAAAATTGTAACCTTTCATGTAAATTTAGCTTATTTGAATACACACCACATTGATTTGGGATTGTTTTCTTATCACCATGACGATTGGAATTTTATTGATTTCTTGTTTCCGCAAAATTGTTTAATGTTATGATATTTTACACTTGTTCATATATGTATATATATATATATATATACCCAAGAGGATTGTTAAGATACTAAACAAAATAACAAACACCATAAAAAGCTTTCTGATTTCGAATTACAGCCGCCCTATAGTACATATATAAACAAAACCAAAATTACACAATTGTCTCTTTAATAATATATTTTAATTATAATGATATTTATAAAATGAGTTTCCCTTCCTACTTGACATACCCGTGTATGTATAGTAGAATATGAGAGCGATATGAAATAAACTTATGAATGGTAAATATGATTGGAATTTTCATAATTCATAGCAGTGTGCTATATTTCCTTAACAAATACTTTATTCATATGATTTCTTCTTTATCTCTCACACTTCTGTTAATATCTTAGAAGGGATTTTGTGGATAGATCTGTTAGCAACAGGATTGCAAAATAAATTTTGAATACGAAGTTTAATTAAACGCTCATCAATAAATTAAGCAACGGATTTTAACTCGAATCGTTCTCAAATCAAATTAAAGAGTCTTAATTCAAGTCTTTGTTCAAGTTTTTTTGTTGTCGGGTCTTTGAAAATGCGAATTAATTTTTTTGTCAAGAGTTTTTCATTGAAACTAAAATGATTGAATAAATCAGATAACAAGGAGCTCTAAATCACTGAAATTAGGATTACCTAGGTTGTTAAAAATGAGAATTTGTGTATGAAAAATAAATTAAAAATCTTCAACATTACCGGAAAGATTAAAGCTTTCAAACAGTTTATCGTCGAAATTGCTTTAAAGCTATTTTTCCCTTTTAACGAATGTGGAAAGCATTTCATGTTGACTTCAAAACGATGTTTCAGACAATAAATCCGTATTTTCGTTCTCACATCGTAATATATTTTTATTTATTATGATAAAAATCATAAATAAAAACAACAGTTTAAGGCACATATTTCTGTGGCGAAAGATGAATAAATGGATGTTGTCGATTGCACAAGAAAAATTCTCGATTAAAAACTATTGAGATTAGTTGGAAGTAGAAATATTAAATAGCAGATTGCATTTTCTCATTCATGGGAATCATACCACTTTAACGTTCATTTTAGTGTATAAAATCTCCTAAATGCAAGATGAACGCTAACCAATTATTCACAGAACTGTTGAATATTCCATCGATTTATACTTTTCTTTGTTATGTTCCAATAAAAAGCATATCAGAAAACAAAAATAAATCATGAAATGAAAAAGAAATATCTATTTGATATCTCATCCTGTTAGATTTTTAAAATTTGTGAAGTGTAAATATGAGTGGAGAATCAAATTATAATTCTTAACTATGTGTTCTACACTGCTGCAGTGCACAAATGCTGATGATTTAGTGGTGAAAGATGTTTAATAACGCTAGCTACTTAACTTAAAAAAGGTTATCATAACTAATTTATAAATTATAGCATAAAATAAAAATTAATATAAGATACATGAAACTATTGAAATATCCAAGCAAAATCAACATCACTCTTTAGTGTCATTAACGTTAATGCGATTAATGTAAATGTTATATAATGAAAGCTTGCTAAAGATTAGTAAGAGTTTGAGCATAAAGCTTTAGAAGAAATCAAAGCTTAGTGTAAAATAGAAAGTTTGAAACACTTGTAAAAGAAAGTTGTACCATAAACGTGTACAACCATTTTCAAAACCAATTGGCATAAATGAAGCTTGTCATCTGTCAAGTCACTTGATATGTTTACAAAATGATAAAATGTTCAGTTAATCATCTGATATGATACTGTGAAATATTTTTCATGCCAGCTTGTAAAACTAGATTATTAAAAAAAATTTAAAGAAAAATTTATTAAATAATTTATAAAATTATAAATAAGACTGTTTATTAATCTTTGTCGTAAAGTTCTGAAAATAACAACAAAATCCTTAAGATTTTTTTTTCAAAACAAAGCAGAAAATCTTGAATGCGCATGTGAATGAAATGAAAATACGCAACGACTACATTCAAACTTTATTACATTAAAGAATCAGCGCAGTCAGGATTTTCCAGTAAATTTTCCTTGTTTTTCGAAAACATTCTCAATACACTAATGATGACTTTCAAATGTCTTCTGATCACTCACCAGACGGATGATATCCTTTCTGAATTTCAAAAACAGCTGCAAGAGCGTTTAAGTTTTGGATATTTGTGGTGTAAAGAACAAACGTGAAAATAAATAAAAAGCGTACGTAAAAATAAATAAATACCTAAATAACAAGGAATTAAACAGTTTGAAATTTGTTTTGGTTAGTGAAATATTTTTTACATTGATATTTGTGTCACAAATATGTTGAATAACATTTAAAGATGCAAGCGATGTAAAATTTTGAAAATAAACGAAAGGCTTGCAGTTGATTGATATGTAGTGCATTTGATATCAATAATGTTCAACATTTTATTTACTTAGAAAGACATTCTTGTGAAAAATATGACGAATTTGCTGTTGTTGATGGTTGTTTTGGTCTTCGTGATAAAATCTTTATAAAATAATACAATCATTGATGTTTTTCACTGAAAATAGTGGCATGCTTCAAATAACACAAGAGTAAACGTGATAAGACAATCAAATTTAAAACCTTTCGTCAGAGAAAAGTCTTGTTTCAAAATTATTAATTATTTACTTTAATTGAAGTCTAATAACCTGTGCTTGGGTTCCCTTAAAGATTATGGTCTTAGATATTTTAGCGAAGATACAAAAAGGAAAACATATTTAAATTTTTCGTATAATAAAATGAATTTCTTTTTATAAACCCTAATTATAAATGGAGATCGAATTCGACTTCTCTCTCAAACGAAATTTAATAAATTTGACCGTCAAAAACTTAAAGAGTCAAGTGTGTGAGGAAGATTTCTACAAACTATTTATTTTTGACTTCTCTCAGAAGCGATTCAGTGTCAATTAAGTGTTCGTTGGAGAAACCTTTGAAGATAAATTTCTTATCATCGAAAAGTTTTTAATATATTTTGATTAGAAATCATTTTAGAGTTCTAATTTTCGTTGGTAGATCGATTTTTATTTTAAAGGCTTTGTAATAAAAAGATAATATCCAAATTTCACTTGTGTGCATTAACACGTTAATTTATTTTCACATCTTATTAGCGTGTTGATGATAATGCTTATCGATGATAATAATAATACTTAGTGATAACTGGAAACCATGTAAAGTATCTACTTGAAAGAATAACAGTGTATTGCGATGTTGCTGTTAGTTTTGTATGATTATTTACACAAAATTACTTATTGGAAATAATGCAAATAACTTTCGATGACGTTGTTACTGCTTGATAAGTATATTGACTCAGCTTTTATTTATTGAATAAAGAATGCAAAATACATATTAACACTTTTCCTTATTAGAATAAATAATCTGAATCATCAAATCTGAGAAAAATTTGTTTCCTGACTTTTCACAAACCTCTCGTAGTGAATTCAATCCTTACCAAATGAATGAACAAATAAATTGCATTTGCAATTATTTACTTGTTTACATATCCATATAATAAGTATCTTTTTGACTTCGAAAACTCACAAAAAACCCATCAAAATTCATGGTAATATCATTTGAAACTAGTTTCAGTCAAGAAGCTTGTAAACAACATTAGTTCACTTGCTCACTTAAACATCACACTATAAGAGTAAAAATAAATTGTCCTACTTTTAGTCATTGATTGTTATTTTCGCTCTAGGTAGGAAAACATTTGCTAATCTGAATTACCCCTGAAAAACTTAACAATGGAATTACAATTTATTTATCAAAATGTTTTATTTGGAAGTATTATTTTAGTTTTGAAAGAGTCAATATGAATTCTTCACGTTTAAAGTTAAATTCGAATTTAGAGCAATGACTCATAAGTGGTCTAGCGCATGACAACATTTAATCAGAAAAATGTTGGCGTGTGATGTTATGGTATTCAAATGTTTTTGTTATAATGGATCTAGATTTGTTTTTATTTATTTTTTTGCGTCTAAAAGTAAATTTTTAGACTGATAGAATAATCAGATTGTTTTCGATAAAGCATTGACACGAGTGGATATTTCATTCTGATGCCTGCGAATAACAAAAATAAACAACAAAGTTCCTACGTAAATTAAATAAAATATTCTAATTTAAATCAATTCATATTAGTGATTCTTCATGTTATTGTGTTGGAAAGTTTGTTTTTTAATTATTTAAGTTAAATATAATTGCAAACTCTATTCTGTTCAATTGGCAAGCTGGCAGTCAGCAAATGATTAAACATTTTCGAAACACGAATGTTTCACGTGATGAAACACAAATAAATACGCGGCTGTTCTATAACAAAAAGCATCATTAAAAAAAAGAAAAACATTCACACGAATTCAGAGATGAACAGAGAAAAGCTGACAGCGTAAACAGAAGTAACCGGCAGTTAATGTTTTATTGAAGATATTCCAAAAATAAAAAATAAAATGTCGATTTTATAGATTTTTAAATACGAGAGATACTCGTGTGGATATTTAATGACTAACCATATAAATTAGTAGATTGAGAGGCAAATCAAGATATCGTTTCATGTGTCGAGTAAACTCATCCTTGGTTATCAACAAAACGCTCAACTATCGTCCCATTCATTCTTGTCTCGCTCGTAATAAAGAGTATTAAAAACATTCACGTGCATGCCGCGTGCGAGTGAAAAATCGGGTGAGGAAAATTAAAGTGGAAAGTTTCCAATAATCTTTCTCACAACTACACGTTTTTTTGGGAAGGAACTTGACAAAAGTTAGGTCAATTTTCGTTTGCCTGTGTCGAATTGCCTAACAGTTAACACGGTCATGAATGAAAACGTGCTATATTATATCATGATTCCCAACATATTCGCCAACACCATAAAATGTGTCGAAAGAATATCGACTGTTTAGCCTGCCACGATCCTGTTACAAAAATTCATCATTTAGTCTGGCAAAATATTTTGTGTCTTTTTTGTTTAGTCTATATTTCAATTAAATTTATAAAAATAAACAGAAAAGTTTGTCAAGTTTTTTAAAATATTATCTAAAACTTAAAACACAGATTAATTATATTTTGTGATAAACAAATGTGCATTTGATGAAAAAAAAAATTCCTAAATTTATCGAATCATTATTTTCAATGCCAAAAAAGTGCAAAATTAACGTTGATGTGCTTTCTTTGTGTCAGTAATGATTTGTTGCCACGAATAATTTTTAGAGTGGGAAAATTCTATGATGAATTTAAAACAACTTCATGCATCGACAATGAAGATCGAACTGAATTGAAAATTGTAAAATCTAATCTTACACTTTAAATCACGTTCTTATGTCATGACGTATTTGATATTAAAGGAAGATGTTTTATGCAATAACTGTGGGTGTCATATTTAAGATTGTCGATGAAAAATGAAGAGAAAGGGAAATGTAATCTGAATTTTATATAAGATACAATACATAAACATGTGACAAAGTTTATAATATCAAATAATTGCAACTTGAGAGATAATTAGATTGCAATTTTTATTTTTATTCAATTGATAAGATATCAGTGTATGATATTAAACTTAGAAAACTTTATATATTCATTTTGCATTCCCAGCTAACTTTGAATTCCCTACGAACCTTCCTTATTCAGATTCATCAATTAATATATTTAATCTCCCTGAAAACTAAAAATAAATTGAGGAAACATTTTTTTTGTTGTTTACGCGTGAGAAAAGTATCTTGTCGATGACCCTCAACAAAAAAGAAAATAAAATTGAAACAATTTTGAAGTGTTACAAAGTTTACTTGATAATGATGAGTGGATTTGTTTACTATAGTATTTTCTTTGTCGATAACTTGAAATAACAAATAACAAATACCTAGCTCAAAATATTATACGGCGCATAGTTTCTGTTTTGAAAATATGAGGGGATACATTACGTGGCTTTATTATCAAGCTTTACTGTCAGCACACGAATATCTAGTGAAGAGTGATGAATTTGCATTAAAGCAAACATTTTTATGATAACTGCTTACATATTTTAAGTGACCGGTGACATATACATCTTCTTTAATTGAAAAATTTTCCATACTGAATTGCCAAACGAGTCAAAAGTTTAGCATTGATAATGGTGAATATCTATTTAGGTCGAGTACTGAAGCAATTGCGTTTCATTTCTTATTTTTCTGGAAATTTTCACTTTTATAAAACGTGTTTCTTAGATGTGTTCTGTTGTTAAGTGTTTAAAATATTCCCAATTTAAAAAAATCGATTTCGCATAAAAATTATTCACTATTCTGCTCAAAACAGCATCGCAATAGAACGCAATATCTCCAAATTTCACTTCTTTATTATTAAAGAAGTTTGATTTTTGAAACATTACCTAATTATAATGAAAATAGTCATTGTCTCTAACCTTCTACAAATTCGTAATATTAGGTATTTATTACGTTGAAAATTCTTTTTAAAAGCTAAACACTATCACCTTCCACTTACACATTGACAGAATCATGTAATATTCAATGTTTTGGTTCATGTTCAATGTTTCACATTCATTGTTTACAACGTTAAAATATAAAAACAAAACGAAAACTCAAACCTTCATTTAGTCGTTTGCTGAAAGCAGCATTAAGAACTTGTTAAGAAAAGAAAAGTAGCAACAAAAATTTCTAGAAAAAAAGAAGAAGAAAACATTTAAGAACTGGAATAAATACATAAAAAAAAGAAAAAAGTGACTGAATTGAGGAAAAAAAAGTGTTGAGTTTTTTCTGAAGAAAGAAACATTAAAAACAATTGGTTTTGAAATAGCAAAATAAACTTAAAAGTGAAAATATTTTGTATCATTAATTTTTGACCTAAAAGAGAAATCAAAATGACCATCGCAGATTCATTAAACCAGCTTAAAATGCAGATGCATATGGAGAGACAAAATGAATTTCTCATGATTGGGTAAGGAGTGTCTCTACTTTAACTTGCAACGTTTTGAAAATATGTAAGAAGGAAAAAATAGAAATTATGCAAGCATATAATAATTTAAAACCAATTATCTGCAAATTAATAAATTATTTAACACATTTAAAGTATTGTGACGTCTGCAACGAGCCAAAGTCCAATTTTTACTTCTAACCGTTCAGTTATAAGAAAGAGTTCGTGTATTTATATTGAATCATTCACTGAATGCGTGATATTTTCTTCTTCTTTGTTTAATATTTTCTTTCTCTCTCTTTCTCGCTCATGATTTGTCTTGCGCGTTTGTAGAGTTCCTTCATCCCCTTTATATTTCAATGACATTGAAAGTGAAAACAAACTTTTTCCAATGTCCGAATGACGGGACAAGAAATATTTAAACCACGAAAGTTCGAATTTCTTCAAAGTCAGAACTAAACATTTTAATTAATTAAAGTGTAAAGGAAGTGAAACTTAATATTCTTTAAATATGCATTTATGAAATAATGTTTCAAATTTCTGCTTATCCGTCAAGAACATTTGTTTCGTCGAATAACTGCGAACGTTTTTAAAAAATGTTTATCTTTAACTAGCTGAAATTTTTATAAAACTGATACCTATATACATAAAAAAAAAACTTTCCAAGCGATCATGAGAATAGTTAGTTTTTTCGCATCTAAACAAATTGACAATTTCCACAGATTTCCAAAAAATAATTTTTATCTATGTTTTCATCTTCTTTATCGAATTGCGTGAAAAAAAAGTATGCCACAATTTTTTAATTTATTTTTAGCATTTTGCTTCAAGCTGAATGAGGTTTTTAAATTTGTATTTACACGTTTCACCATAATCTATGTGACAAATCAGACTGAGAGTTGTTCGTCACTCATATAAAGCGTGCTTTCATGTAATAATTTGAAATCATTCAAAATGAAGATTATTATGAGTTTTAGTATAAAGAATAAGCTAACAAACCTTGACTAAAAATTTTTCAAAGGCGTTGTTGTAACGAATTAGAAAAATCGCAACCCCGTGCTTTTTTTTTCAAAACTGAAAAATGAATTAAATCACTTCGATATACATATTAAAATGTTTGTAGAAAATTTCCAACATTATCTAAGATATTTATTCATGTGTGACAAAAAGAGTTGCATTTGTATTGTAACTAACACTTTTCATTTGCATAGATTTAGTTTTAAAATAATTTTTGAAAACTAGAAAATGTCAGCCTTAAGTGCTTTGTCAACCGCTAGAAATGCCGAGTAGTTCTCCCTTACGCATACGTGAATGCCTATATGTAATTTATATTTAGAAACAACAAAATGAAAACACAAGCTATATGAATCAACACAAAGTCACCTTGCGCTTTGTTTTGGAACAGAAGAGAAGTAAAAAAAATGAGTGAGAAATGTAAATATTAAATCATATGCGTCTTTGAATGACGTTAGAAAAAAAAATTCCTACAAAGTTTTAATTTATAAAAATTAAAATAAAACGTGCAACTTCGAATTGAATAATTTTGTATTTTGATGTCCCAGTAACCCAATGAACATTTAAATTAAATAATTACATAACAAAAAGAATAAATAAATATGATAAGATTCATTGCAATAATTGTTAAAGGTTATCAATAATTGACAAATCATGGTCGTGACGAGTAAGTGGCGTGATTTGTTTAGTTGTCAAAAATGAGCATTAATCATTTCGTACATGGTTCAGTACTAAAGCGGTGAACAAACTCTTTCTGCTATCTTATCACGAACAAAGAAATAACCGTGGACCCCCCATGAAGTTTATTATTCTCATATTTGCTCTATTTTTAATTCGATATCTTTATTTTATTTATTTGTTAACAGACGTTCCACTTCAATTGATCACGGAGAAATGAATAAACTCTGTCGACAAGTTTCCATCGAGTCACCTAATCTCATGAGTAAGGATTGTGTTTATAATGCCATTGTACCGGTCGCTGATTGTCCACCTCATGGAGCGAGAATTCTCGTTGTGTATGCTGGTGCCTGTTATCGTAAAACTCGTGATACTTCATGTACCAGCATATCCAGTATGTCATCAGATTTGACTCGAGAACTGTCTGATATTTCAATCACTGCCGCGACACTTCAACAAATGCAAGCATCAGGATCGTTTGGTCGTTTAGATCAAATGGGGCAATCATCTCCATCTAATTGTGGTTTTAGAGACGCTGCATTGTTTCCTGGATTCGAAGTTGCTGGTGTAATTGAAACGCTTGGGTCGGAAGTTGGTGAAGATTGTGGATTTAAAGTAGGACAACGTGTGATTTTATATCCATATGAGGGACTCCCAGCTGGTTATTCCGAGCTCTTTGTTGTTCCTGAATTAAAATATCTTGTTCCAATTCCTGACACACTTGAATTGAGTATCGCTGCGATGCTTCCAACTGGCGCTCTCTTGGCAATGAGTTCAATTCTTTCCGCACATAAAATTGTTGACAATTTGAAGGCAAAACGTGGTGAGACTACACCGATTAAAATTCTTATTGTGGGAACTGGTGGACTTGCATTGTGGGCTGTTCGTATTGCTGCACAACATTTCTATACAAAAGAGTCGAGAGAAAAAAGTAGAATTGAACTAACCGTTGCCTGTTTGAGAGATGAAGGCTTGGAATTGGCAAAAAGTGAATTCGAGAAGTAAGTTGAAGAATTATTGAACTCAACTGAACAATATTTAACATATTTATTTATTTTTTCATATCAACTTCAGAGTGAATATCGTTCAGTGGAGTGAAGATCTGTATGAGAAACAACTCATTGAAAGAACTCAAAATGCTTGTAAAGGTCTTGTAGACATTGTTATTGATTTCGGCACTACATCACGTAGTTTGCATAGATCATTACAATGTTTGAATGAAGGCGGTGTTGTACTGATTAGCGATGAAGTTGCTGAAAAACTTCTACCGAAATTTTCACGAAAGGCTGAAGAAAGAAAGCAACATATCGAGCCAGTGCCAACAGGAACAATCGAACAGTTGTATGATCTTGTTAAACTTGTTGCTAACAAAGATGTGAGTTGAAAATTAAAAATGTTAAAGAAATTTTTTCTTATTTAATTGAAAATTATTTAAATTTAGATTATACCACCCCCACACTCCGTTTTCCCATGTGAAGAAGCAGCTGAAGTTATAAGAAAGCTCGTCAATTCGGAAATTCCTGGACGAGCCATCCTCAAATTCCACGACATTGAGTAAAAAGTATTGACATTTTGGTTAAATAATTTTGGTTTCCTTATCTTGAAAAACATATTAAAACAGAAGTTGTTATCCCATCAATAATCCAACCAAATAAAAGAAAGCTTTCATGTAAGTTGAGGCACTTTGTAGTAAAACATTCAATTAGAACATTGTTTTTCTACACATCAGCATTCAAGAATGCTTTAAAATTCATAAAGTTGAAAAAAAACTTTGAAAAATGTTTTCATGTCAAAGAAAAATATCTTGGATAGAGAAGTGGAATGAGAAAATATTGAAAACACTTCTCAAGCTCATTTAATATAATTTTTGGCAAAAGCAAAAACATAAAATCGTAAAATTTATTAGACATATTCTCACCGTTTCTTTATGTCTGCTAATTTAATTTAAGGTAAATAAAAAGTTATTTTCTATTCATGTGATAATTTTTAAGTCAGGAAGAATGAAGAAAAATTGATAATTTCATTATCTATTTCCTTTTCATATGTTCCGAAAGAATGTTTGAGCTATTTAAGGATAAGTTGGAGAATGAGACCGGAAGATAGTTTCATAATTTGCAATTAGTTTTAGTATCCTAGAGATTATTATTATTGTCACAGTTTTCATTAAATGTAACTGTCATTAGAATATGTTCAAAATAAAATAAATAAAATCGCCCACGGTAAAGAAAAGCGTTATAAAATCTTTTTATTTTCTATGAATTTCAATATCAGATTTTGTTATCTACTTTAATTCATTTTCACTTTTGACAAGCTCCGCGTTTAGGGGATTATTCCTCGAGCAATAACTGAATTTTTGTCTGTCTTGTCTGATTTTAATAATCATCACAATTTTTTAATTGAGTTTGAAAATTTCATTACAATTCAAGTCGAAATCAACAAAAATCTAAAATTTGTTCAATTCATCAAATAGCATAACAAGAATTTAATTTAAATTAAACAGGAATATTTCTTTCAGATCAGAGCTATATAGTTATATGTAAAAACAGAAAATATGTTCAAGAATTAATGAATAAATAAAATAAATAAAACCAATAAAGTAATAAACATTTGTTTGTTTTTCTCTCGTACTTGTTCAAGAAACTTGTATAAGAATCTTGAGTGTGATATATTTGCTAAAAGTTTTCAATTTTTAAAGCTTTTTGCTTCGTTTCATAAACAGACGTGAGCATTGTAGCATATTTTCAATAAACACATTAAGACGTTCTATAAACATCTTAAAATGTTAAGATCTTATAATCACTTTACATTTAGCAGCCTCAACAATATCATCCTCAAAGTTCAATTATTTTCTTAATCATATTGAAGTTCTCTTAACTTTTAATCATCATAAAATGTTTAGTAGCTATTAAGAATATGCAAGAATAATGAAGTTACTTAAGCTTTCGTTAATCTTGAGTATTGATCTTGAATATCAAATTTAAAGTTTACAGAAGAAAAAACTTACAGTTTTTCAAACTCTCAATTTAAAATATTGTATGTATTATAAACACTTGAAATATTTGACAATCAATATAATCTCATCAACACCCTCAAAATTCTTCTAATAATAATTTACAATATTTTCAAAATTCAAGACATGTTCATTGCATGATTTCTTATAAACACTAATTAAAGGTTTTCATTCTTCGAATAATTAGTTTTCTCGACCTTTCTTAAAGTATAAAAACTGATAACATCGAAGACTCAATTTTCTTCCATAATACTTAAGTATAGAAAATCAAGTTCGCAAAAAAGGAAGTTTGTTGTTGCTTAGTTGCAAAGTTTACATTAATTGTCAAAAGTAGGGAAGATTGCATTTACACTGATATCATAGCCAAAGAGACTTTTTCATCAAAACTTTTCCAATGAAAAGTTTCCTTAAAGTCTTCTTTTTTGCTCTCTTACCAAGAGAATTTTCTTTCTATAAAACTTTACCATTTGGTATCTGTTTGGTTGAAAGCTTATCATATAGATTTTTGTCTGAGTTCAGGGAAATCAATAATAAAAGACACCATATTGTAGCAAACTTTGGCTTAAAAAATGAGACAGAACATATTTTAATCATAAATCTTGCAACATTAGTTAAGATGAAAATTATCTTCAAGCGGTGGTTAATATTCATAGCGATATCATAACTAACACTCACTAATGCATTCAAATAAACAGTTGTCAAATGATGATTAAAGGAGGTGAAACGGGACCAAAGAGCTTCAGCCGCTATTGAGTTGTTGTTACGGCTCACTCCTTGTATGATGATGAAAAAAGGGGAATCAATAACTTTGAAAAATCTTTTTATCGGTTTATCAAAAAGCTCATGAATTTTTTTTCTAAAGTTCTATGTGACTAACTAAGCATCCTAAATTTTTTAAAAATGATGAATAAATTTGCTTTTGAATTTGGAATTTGGAAACACGCATTAACTATGTATATCCTTTCATGTTTTCCGGAAAAAGCTCTTTGTGACAGCATAAATTATTACGGCGGAAACTTCCATCGTCAAAAGAAAAATAAAAAAATAAAAGTGAACAACCATTTTAATTGAGCGAAAGTCAAGTCAACCCCCAAACAGTTGTAATTAAAATTGTGCACGCAATTTAGTGAACTAGCAATTAAGGTTGACAATTTCTGTAATCAGCTTTTTATTCAGGAAAGCAATTTCTTCGAGAGTGGAAGAGGATATAGGAAGATAGAGGAAGAAGGGGATATAAAGTGCTTTCGCTTTAAGGCAATTAATTAAAAAAATAATTTTCGTGGATTCATATCATAAGAGAGAAAAGGAAAATTCAATAGACATTTTCATAGCTTTTAAAACTTGCATTTACATTAAAGTGAGCGACTGACCTCATGCGCTGCCTCATAAATACATTTCAGCGATGCCGAATTTAAGAGATGGGAATCGTTTTCAACATTTCCACCATTTTTTTATGGGTATTTGCATAAATGTTCACTTTTGCTTATCGTTAAAATTAATGGTGTTGATTTTGTTCCGTCCGTGATTTTTATCAATTTGTGGGGTAGCTTTGAGACAGTGAAAAGAAAGAGAAACCAAAGTGGTTTTGACGCGTCGAATTATTCACACCCTAACTCACAAACAAAATATTGAAATGCTTTTAGTCAAAACATTCGTGAGATATCAAACATTTGGCGAGAATTGTTTCGATGTTTTTTTTCTTAGATATCGATAGAAAAGTTAAAATTATGAAATTTTGTAATATTTTCACAGATATATGTTGATATGAAAAGATATCTAGCTTTCTTTTCGCCTGCTGTAAGCTTTTTATTGGCCGAGTTTTTTCTATCAAATTAAATGTGTGATGTTATGTTAATTTTTTCGGAACAATTGCCTATTACAGATGAGAAAAAATTTAAAATAAAGTTTAAATAAACAATAAATTTATTGCTTAATGATTCAATAAGCTATTAAGATCATATGTTCACCCTTAACAATCATGTTAAAGTTAAAGTTTATACGATACTTATAAGTGACAAATAAGGTGACTTCTTTCCTTAATCTTCATGTATATCGCTTTGTTCGAGAGGAATATTTTTTTCCACGAATAAATTATTCCGCGACCAGATTATTGCTTGAAAATTAGGTATTCCATGCAGAAAATTGCGTGATGATTTTGAAATTTTAACCGTTAAAAATATCAAGGTAAGTTTTTAATTTTATGATATTAAAATTAAATTCATCATGATATAATGATTAAGATAACAAATCATGATGCTAAATACAATATATTTTTACTTCTTATCTCTTTTATTAATTAAAGTTTTAGTCACAAAATATTTTTCCACGCATTTAAGTTTCTAACATTCTTCTCCTTTGTTCACGTTTGTGAAACTCGAAACTATAAATTTCATTTTTGTTACACTCTAGAGGAAATAAGAAAATTTTCTTGCAGCTTTTCTAGTGGAGAAAATGAAAAAAAGCAGAGAAAAGTGTTGATTCTAGTGTCGCTTATAATTGGATATCTACTCAACAATTTTATGTAATAAAAACTTTTGATTGAATCATTGCAATTTACAAATGGATCTCGAAAACTAACTTCCTTCTCCTTTTCAAATCGAATTGTATTTAATACTTTTCTTATTATTCACTTCATTTCTTGAAGCTTTATTTTCAGTTTTGTATAGAATATCAAGCTTTGGTTGCAGAACAAAATCTGTTAACAAAATTGTTTATTTTATAAATACGAAGTTCAACAATCTGACCTCTAGTGAATAGCTTATATTTATCAGTAAAGTTCAAATTGAATTAACTCCTTCGGTTTAATTATTCTACACCATTGGAACCTTCACTTTATTTTTTAATTTCTCTCAGATCTTTTTCTTCACACTTGAATGAATGAAAACTAATTGAAAATTGTATTAAGCGATTGAAAAGAGTTTTACATGTAAATTGAGAAGTTTCATAAATATATTTGAAGCAGTAATAATAAGAGAAGATGGAAGGGAGGGTAAAAATAGGAAGATATCCGAAAATTCAATCAAATAAATCAAAATGAGTGAATGAGACTTCGTCTGCTATTGTGTGTGCCGGTGCGAATCATGATTCCGTTTTTCAAGGAAGTGAAATGTGATGTAATAAATATGAGGATTCAAGAGCTTGCCTTTCCGTCCGTGACTTTCATAAATTCCTTGATAATATTGAAAAGGATTTGTTGAGTTTAAGGGAAGGAGTGCAAATGGAACGAGAAATTTATTTAGAAAGTTTAAAGGATTTCCGTTTTGTTCAGGTTTGACCCCCGCCTATGATAAACATATTTGTCGCAATTACATTTTGACGCTCGAGTCGAAATGATAATAATTATGAGATATTTTGAAAGAATCAAATATTTCTAGTATCGTAAATTTTCAATGTTTCAAATAAATAAAATGTTCGTCTTTTATTCTCTTCGAGTTCAGGAATCTTCAGTTCGATAAGTTAAATTTTCCAGTCAATTTAATCCAATGTACGATAGACATGGAATTTCTTTTCCTTCATTTGTTCACTTCTGTATGCGAAATATCAATCATAAGTTATGAAAGTTCATTTCAAGAATGAAGGAAACGCCCTTCGCTTGCCTCTAACTATTTTATATCAAAGACGTCAAAAAAGAAAAATTGATTGTTTTTGTAAACGGCAAAATATTTTCCAAATGACTTTCATGAAATAATTTTTCATTTGTATGAGAAGAGAAAAGAAAAATTAACTCAGAAACATTTTTAATCAGAAGTCTTTAAGTTAAAAGCTTTTTTATGGGCCATTTGAAATTTAATTATTCAATTATTTGAATGGAACAAACTGGTGACAAAATGGTGACAATAAGAGGACAAAAAAACGTAATAAAGATGAGTGTTTAAGTGCAGTAGCACTTTGACATGAAAAATAAAGAATTCTTTCCAGTTGTCAAGAAAAGAAAGTGGCAACAGAGAAACTTATATGCGAAACGGGACTAAAGTGTCTCAATCGCTATTGAGCTGTTATTACGGACTCCTGGTCTGATGATGGTGAACTTATTTTTTTTCCCTACTATCTTTGAAGTAGCAGCAATTTTTCATGCTGAAAAGTTTTCAATTATTTCATGATGAAACAAAGTCTTATTAGATTTATAGATGTCGCTTACTTTAGTTTTTTGCCGAACCAACTACTTGCCAAGTATTTGTATCGAACTTGCATTTTTAGTTGCATCAAGTATTAAATTATTATTTTATTTGAAGAAATTTATTTAAAATATTTATTTATATTGAATGCAACTATCTAACTTTTTCACTTCGATAAGATTGCATAATTAAAAATATCTTTGATATCATTTTCATTCAATTCGATTTAAAAAATATTAAAACAATCAAAAATCATTCTTCGCTTACTTATGTTTTACTGGATTGAAAATGAAATGTTGTTAAAATAAATTTGTGTTTCTATTTTTAATTATAAGTATAAAATGAATAAAAAAAGATAACATATCTAAATTATTAAAAATTTTATTAAATATCTACCTTAGATGAAGGATTTTTTTGATATTTAAGTAACAAGTACTTTTATTTTATCTATAAGTTTTAACATATTTCCTAGATCTCATCTAATGATAAATCTTTGATGTTCGACTTGACTTCATTTTGTCATCGTTGAAACTTTATGAAGAAAAAAAAGAAGAATTATTTTTTATTCGATATTTTGATCTCGATGATATTTTCATTTCCTGAAATATTTTCCCAAATAAGACTTCGCTTACTTCGCTAGGGAATAGATGAGAAAAGTGTAGAGTGAAGCGAAAAAAATCAGATATTTGGAGCATACAATTGAAACGAAATTCAATCAATATGAAGGAACTTCTATTGAAATTCCACCTTTTGCATGTTTGATAATGTGAGAGTGTGAAGCAATTTTAACCAACAGTTTCAATTCAAACGGTTCCAAAATCAAATGAATCAAAGGTGTTTCTTTGTTGAACACAACCGCCGCCTTTTTTTTCTCTCATTTTCGTATATATGTGAAATTTCCAACCTGTTTTTAATCAAAAAACGAAGATTTTGACGTGAAATTTTGATTACTTTAGGGAGCTTCAACATTTCGTAAACCTAATTTGCGTCACAATTTCAAATGAAATTTTATATAAGCTTGTTGAAAAAAATCGATTTGTGAAACAAACACGGGGTTTTCATTTCTTTTTATACATGTTAAATAAATTCTTAAACAATGTGTAGGTGGCAATATTAAATTACAAGACTTGTTTTTTTATTATTTACATTTCCTTTAATTAATCATTGAACAATTAATCAAAATATAATTTTTCATCACAGATATTTATGATAATTTTAATTTTTATTCTTTTTTTTTCATTGCCCACGCCAATATTGCTTGACCATATCGGCGGCTTTTTCGCCGATCATAAAAATTACTGCATTCGTGTGAGACGCGGGTATTTCAGGCATTATTGATCCATCAACAACCCTCAGATGTTTTATACCATAAACTAAAAATGAAATGCATGAAATAATAACAAAATTGGAGAGAAAGTAATTCACCTCGAAGTTGTGGATCCACAACAGCGTCACGACCAACGCCCATTTTGCATGTTCCAACTTGATGTTGTAAACTTGAAGCTATTCGACGTATGCAACAATCCCAATAGTCGTCACTTCTAAATTGATAATTTTCACATCCTGAGAATGGAACGTCGTGAAGTTTCGCTCCAAACTTTTTAAATGCTTCAGACTCCCCAATTTCCACAGCAATCTTCACACCCTCACGAAGGATTACCATGTCTTCTTTATTTGAATAGAAATTTGGCCTTAAGTGCGGCCAATGGAAAGGGTTTCTAGACTTGAGAAATATTCTCCCTCGACTTTTTGGCTTCATTAAAACCGGGGAAATTGTAAAAGCATGACGTCCACGGATGCTGCCAAAAACTTTATCAACAAAACTTTTTGGAATACCAAAAACATTTCTCAGAAAACCAGAATCGTCTCCGGTAAAAGATCCAACTCCCATGACAAGTTCAATGTCTGGATAATCCGCTGGTAGATAAGAAATGTTTGTTTTTATAAAAGCAATTCCTTCAGCACCTGCTGGCAATGTTAAAGGTCCTCGATTGAATAAATAATAATTGAGAAGATGTCTCGGATATCTCATTTCTTGTTCCATGACTGTTATTGGCTGGTTGACAGGAAATGTGAGAGCGCTTAATGAAACGTGATCTTGTAGATTGTATCCGACTTTAAGATTGGAATAAACTGGAATATTTAATTCTTCCAAATCCTTTTTGGGTCCAACACCTGACAACAGTAAAAGTTGTGCCGATCCGATTGTACCTGCCGATAAAATTACTTCCTTACGAGCTTTAATCTTGTATCGTTTTTTATTCTTCATGAATTCAACACCAATAACAACTTTTGAAAATGGATCGATAATGATTTTAGTTACCCAAGATTGCATGGATATGTGAAGATTCTCTCGACGAGCAACTGGTCTCAAATAAGCCTTAGCGGCAGAACAACGTCTTCCATTTCTCATTGTAGCTTGGGCTAGTGAAAATCCCAATTGTTGTGCTCCATTGGGATCGTTATAATCGTAGCCCATTTGTTTACCAGCTTGAATGAAGCTTTCGTGAAGTGGCGAAACAAATTGTGAATGTTCGATGTCTAAGTAACCGCCCTTCCCTCGATATGACGAATTTTGAAGTGAAGGAATTTTGTTGTTCTCTGTTTTAATGAAATATGGAAGAACATCTTTGTATGACCACCCGTAATTTCCCAGTGAGGCCCAATTATCATAATCTCTACGGTTTCCACGTGTGTAAATGAGAAAATTTAAAACGCTCGTTCCACCAAGAATGCGACCTTTTGGCCAATTACAAACTCCCTTAAAATAAAATTATTTCTTTTCAAATAAAATGACGAGAAAATTATCAATTTACATTTTCAAGCCCCAGACAAGCTTCTTGACTATTTGGATCTGTCCGATATCCCCAATTATAAGATGTAGCTGAATTAGCAGACGCTGTTAATGGCACGTCTGTTAAAAAAGTTTCTTGCCGTCCAGCTTCCAACAACAATACTTTCCAACGGTTGTTTTCACTAAGTCTATTTGCCATCACAGAACCTTAACATAATAAAATTAGTTAATTTTATTTAATATTCAATAAAGAAAAACAACCTCCACTACCAGATCCGACAATTATAAAATCATAAGATGGTAAAAAGCTTTTTGTATCTTCTATTATGTAGCTTGAATTATAAATAAACAAATTGGTTTGCTCCATTAGGAATTGCATGAGATTCTGTTGGGCCATGACTTGAATGTTAAGCGCTAGAATTATTAGCGCATGTCTTAGTTCCATTTTTGATAGTATTTAATCTGAAATAAAATGTAATAGAAAAAATGTCTCATTTTATGTAGATATCTAATTAATTATCCACACATATTCAGTTCTTATCATTCATAATGTTTTCAAGATAAAACTTTGTTATGTTAATGACCTTGGTATGCCATCATATATTATTAAACTCTTTTTCCAACTTCTTGAGCATTTTCTCAAATTCGTCTACGTGCTCTAAATATTTCATTTCAAATACAATTTAACATAAGGCGAAATAAATTTGATGTAAATTAATATTCGAATAATTGATTCATCGAACGAAAAGTTAAAGAAGAGAAAATTTATATTATGATTGCATTTTCAAAAGTCTAGATTCATAAATAACACATATTTATGGACGCAAGGGCAGTGTAAAGTGACAACGACACGAAATAATTTCAACAGAAGAAAATTTGTTTCAAGGTCAGATGCCAATCGAAAAGATTAAGTTTCATAACTCAATCGAAGGTAAAATAATATAAATGTATTGGAAAATGCATTCAGCCGACCAATGCCGGCAATGCTGGCATTTCTGATTAGTATTTAAACACACACATTTCCCTGCTTGCAAGTACAAACCAGTTTAATTTCATAGTTGAACGTATGTGATCAAGAATTTCAGTCGTTTGCCTGCTAAAAAGATTCTCAACATCCATGACATCATTTGTAATAGCTTCCGATTAATGATATTAAACAACATTTTAAATTTGTTTTTTATGTATTTATCTTTAGTCTTGAAGTCTTGAGTTTGCTTTTTAATGATACGCAAATTATGAGCAACTATTGGTTTACAAGTCAAGTTCAGGGTAAAGCTAAACGAATCTCCGATCGGTCATTTACATAAGCAGAGAGCGGAATAAAAGAAATTTATTTTTATTATTCCTAAATATATTTAACAGGTAATATGATTATGGCGTTATATAATAAACTTTGCGAAAAGGAAAATATGTATAAAAATCATCTAAACCACATTGATAAACATAAAATTATTTCCCAAACTTAGATTTCATACTAACAGATATTTTTTTTGACAGCAGATATAATATTTGTATGTACCTACCTGCTTCAAATTAACGAAGAATAAATCAAAATCCTAAATTAAAAAAAGTACTTTTTCGAAATGTCAACAGCTTTACATTGAGAGTATTCTAGTGCAGTGGGTCAAACAAACTCAAATCAGAAACTTGATAATCTTTGAGAAAATATGTACCGATAATTATTTTTCTCCCTTCGTGAGACTCGACGAATGCAATTATGATATCACGCCTTATTGGAATTCTTCAACACAAATAAATAGTTCATTACGAGTTCATGACAGGAATGCTGCAGTTGAATATTTGGGGTCAATTGAATTCATGTGAAAGACTGTTCAAGATCAAGGTCGAATAAGCATAAATGCAATCACAAGATGTATTTAATGCGTTTAAAATATTAACAAACTATTTACATATTATTATATATGAGATAATGGTTTTTTAATTAACTGCATTAGCTTCAACTTGATAACTAACTCGTCGTCATGTAGTTTATAATTTTATGTAGTATATAAATCGCAATAGACTAAAATATAAAATTGTTTTGATTAAAACGTGCTTCACGAACTCTGATTTTTTTGCATTATTTTTACATTTTTTTTTCGAAACATTAATTTGCATAAGACGCATATTGAAGCAATGGAGACATATTCAATGAATATTTGATTGAAATAGTGATTGATACTAAATTTAGTCGTAAATTCTTTCAGTACTTATGTATGCTGACTCATAATAATATCGATTTTAAACATAATTTTTAGTTCGAATCTGGAGGTTTTGAAATTATTAACCTTAGAAATGTCAACATAAGTAACAGGTTTTAGGCCCTTTCCAAAAATCAACCGCAAAATTGATACGGTAGTTAATAGTATTTTGAAAGAAATGTAAATTTAACCAGAATTTCCTAAATTATGTTTGTGAAATCTTTAAACGATCTTCGTGAATATTAAATTATTTAAATAATTTAATTTATTGAACTCACAATTATTTAATATCTTTGAACTTCTCACTTGTATTTATTTAAGTTTATTTTAACTGAAGCTTACGCTTAAACAGTCCGTATGAGACTGAAACCTACATGTCGATTTCTCAGCGATATAATGTGAATGTTTCTTCTTCATTCGACGTCACGTAGACAGAGTTAAGGTATTTTAAGATAACAGCTGATTTTCGCATGAAAATTGAGGTGGTCATGATATTTAAAAACGAATACAAAATCAAAAGACACGATGAAATTTTTTTGTTCCATATTCCGATTTATTTTTTTACTATCAGTTGGTTTGAATATTGACATCAAACAGAAATGAAATAAATATGAAACGAAGAAAAACCATCATAACAGCTACACGTTTATTCTTTCACATAACACTTTGCTTCTCATTTTCATTCCGTACAAGTGTACATAGTCTATGGCTGGGTCAGTAATTACATTTCACTCCGTTCCGGGTGATCTTAGTTTTGGCAGTTTATTTTCTTCATTGCACTACCGTAGATAGATTAATTTGAATCTGCTTAACTCGCTGCATAAAAAAATGTTTCTTTTTTTTAGATTCGGCTTTGTACGTGAATATATTATTTAATTTTTGATTTAAGCTTTGTTTTATTATTTTTTTTAAGTAAATTTTTAAGAATATAAAATGCATAGAAAATTATTTTTTTATCAAGTTTTTTTTGAAACTTTCAAAGTTTTGAAGAAAATTTTCAAATGCTGAAATTTGTTAAGTTTGTGGTCCGTTCTGGTACCAGATTCGTTGTCCGTTTTTCTGCTAATTTTTCTAATCCGTTTTAATTTTTAAGCTCTTTATTAGGAAGAATTATTTTATATATTGGGGGACTAACAATATTTATAGCTAGAATTTGTGCTAATTTCGAATTTGATTTAAAAAAATTATTGCATTATTAACATCAAGAAAATCATTAAATTTACATGAATCAATTAAGAAATGAAATAACAATCCTTAAGGATGTGGTGTGGAAAACCTTAAGGTTTGAACAAATCATGTGAAGAGGTTTCAATGAATTTGTAATTAATTGCTTAATATCTAAAGATGCCTCAAAAAGATGCTTAAACTTTTTCTCTCTCTTATCCAACTTTTCTAATTTGTTACAAACTTTCTAACATCTAATCCACTTTGAGATGGGAAAAAAGAAAAACAACTTTCATTCTTCACTGTCTATTAGTTCGCATAAATAAATCTAGTCGTTTCTTATCTTTAATTTACTTAATATTCTAAATGTTATAACTTAAGAATGTTTATAACGAATGGAATAAAGAATAAATGTTTTTCGCATCTAAGTAGATATTTAATTTATTCTACAATTGTAATTATTGTTACGGGTTTCAATTAGAAACAAACCTTTGATCTGAACATTGAATGGAGCAAAAATTTGTCATAGTCCAAAGGTTCATCGTTTATTGGCTTTTAGATGTGGCAGATGTTTGTTTTTTTTGGCATATGTTTGATCTAAGAATGAGTTACAAAAATAACAAACACTTGTCTTCATATCCGTCTTAAGTTATGTAAGAGTAAAAATAAACTCCATTGTATGAAAATTTCATATCCAAGAAAATTTCATTGTTACTTCGCCTATTATGATTCCATCCCAAAGTATCGAGTCTAAGAGAAAAATTGTCACCTTCTTTACATCTAAACAAAATCTTCTTACCTGAAAGAACTTATAGAATGGTTAAGATTTTTTATTTTCCTTCCGCAAGAATTTCATTAGCTGCTTCTTCTCAAATTAACGCCAACGACACACCTTCAAGAAGAGAAATGAGACATAAAACATGATTAAATTAATTAATGGGGATGAAGTAAGAAAAGATGATGCCTTGTCACGTTCCGCTCCCTCCATTCACATAGAATAATGATGGATTCTGATGGGAGTTTAATAAAGCCGAGGTTTCGGAAGAAGTTTACTTTAGACTCTTCAAGAAAAGTCCCATGCCTTATTGTTATCATTTTATTGACGAGGACGAATAAAATTCTTTCTTCTCTGATTCATTTGCACAATGAATCATATAATTAATAAAACTTGTTGACAGAAAGCTTATCTTCTTAGAATTTGTATGAGGAAACATTGAGCTGATTAAAGTATTTTAATTTGAAAAATATTTATTACAAACAACATTTTAATTAAATTTGTAGAGAGTAAAGTTAACAAAATAAGGCTGAATTCTTTAAAATTTTGAGGAGAAGAATTTTCTTAAAGCTTTCATCTCATTCATGATCACTAACAGTTATAAGTCTTACAAGTAATCAAAGTTAGTAAGTGAAAGAAATCGAATTTTTTTTCTTCTTCTTCCTTTCATCATGAACAATTATGTTGTTGAGCTTTTTCTCTTTATTGTAACTTCGTTTCAATTTATTAAAGACGATTCATTGGCAACAATCTACAACCATTTGAGTTTTATTTCTGTTACAAAAAAAGAAAAGAAGCTGAATGAGCTGCTCATAGAATTGAACAATATTGACGTAATACTCTGTTCGTATTTCAATTTCTCATTCTTATTGAAAGCTGCCTTCTGGGTGTAGTTTTCCTGTCGATTTTCTCAAATGGACTACAGAGAGCCTTATAAACAATCTGCTTCGTTTCAATTCTTTTTATTTTGGGGATTGAAACTTTTGTTAGTCCTTTATTGAATTAGAGTACAGTACATTATGAAAGTATTTTTACCATCATGAAAAGAATGAGAACATACACACATAAATACTTATGTAGAGTTAAGGTGTTTTCATGAGGTATCTTTAAAATGATATCTAAACGTGACATGGGAATTTAAAATCCAAGCTTCAATCTTCAACATTCAAAGGTCAACATTAAAAGATTTCCCCTAAGAAGCAACACGTCCTTACTTCTTTTCTTAAGTAATTACAAGAAGCTTTGATGATGATATTATTTAATATCTGGGATGGAAAGGTATTCACGTAAAAACATCTCTATGATGTGTTGTTACCTACTAACAGAAGACGCTGTCATTTCTTAACACGTTTTACAAGTAAATCAAAAGTCATAACTTTCCGTGCGGCTTTTTTGTTCTTTTCCTCCCCCATTTGAAATTACGTTCATCTGATGATATTATCGTTGTTACTTTATGCTTTTTCTCCTGGATTTCAAAAAGTTTTATGAGGTGATATGCTTTTAATTAGAGAGGATTTATGCTAGATCACTTACGTTTCTTATGACATAAATAATGACTTTATGATCCCATTCTTCCAACACAGTCTATTGATCAATTAATAAACACATATGAAAGCATATGCAACTTCAATGATTGATTCATTATAGAAGTTCAATGAACTTTGTGAATTATCAAACGCCTACAAGACGCATTTTAACCACACATTATGTTCTATAATATATCTTGGTCATTCTTACAATTTATATAATTTCAAGCAAAAGCCCAAGTCAAGAATATGAAATTTGGGAAATTCCAGAAACTCTAATATCCTGTTTACCAATGAATCATCACAATAAATTACGAAAAAATCTTTCAGTCTTAAAAATGGACTAATGACGATGAATACAAATCACAAACTAGACGCTGAATGTGTTCAAGTATGTACATATATTCATGTCTGTCAACCAAATAAAACAAAATACTTGATAATGAAAAAAAGTCAAACTCATTCTTATCGGAACTTTTCACTTACATTCAAAACATACATTTGTTTGTCATGTTCTCGCATTAAGCAGTTCACTTTATCAAGTGTGTCTGAACGTGCTGGTTATTTAAAAGAGTGATGAAAAGAAATTTTAATATTTTTGCTGAGAAAATGTTCCTAAAATTAAAATATTTGATCATTTTTGCGGTGATCATTAATGAATCATTACAACAAGTTCCCAGTTCAAAGTGTGAAAATGAAAAGTCAATCAAATATAATTCATATTCGACATTTTACGATAGATCCAGGAGATATCGTTGTACATTTGAACATTTGAAGTCATTTGACGATTTCAAGATTGAAAAGAGTAAACTTACTTTCAGCACCACAGGCATTACTTCAATAACATTTTTAAACTCAAGCTTATCAGAGTTTCCGGAGAAAATATTCAACCTCTTCACCAATCTAAAACAAATTGATGCAAGTCGACTTGTTCTTAGTGAAATATCAGCTACTGCTTTTATAAATTTAAAATTAATGGATTTAATTGACTTATCAAACAACAACCTTAAGACTCTTAAAGCACGAACTTTCTCTGAAATGCAAATCAAACATTTGGATCTAAGTATGAATCTTTTAGAAACCATAGACGACACGACTTTCTCAAATGCACATATAGAGAAGATCAACTTGTCATTCAATAAACTTAAGTCTCTCAAGTTCGCAAATTCGTTTCGTTACTTCTACATTATGGAATTGAATGACAATCTTATCGAGTCATTTAACGAATATGAATTCAGAGATGAAGGAGTTGGAACTCCCAAGCTTTCATTTTATAGCACAGCTGAAACAGATCAACGAATTTTTTTGCAAAACAACAAAATTAAGAAATTTGAATGTTCAACAAACACAATTTTTAACTCAGTTACTCTTATCGGTAATTCAGAGCTTAATGAGATTTCTTTGAATCAATGTAACATTCAGAATGTTGATGTGTCAAATTGTGGGACCATTGAAAAAATCTCATTCAGTGATAACTTATCAGGGTTTACTGCGAAAAGTGTGAAAATAAACAACATTGAGATGTCTGATACGACGTCACTTAAGACGCTTTCACTTTCAAACTCTTCGATATCACCAAATTTACTGGAATATTTCTTGAAAATGGATAACCTAACCTTTTTGGACTTGTCATATATCAACATCGGACCACTAAATATTTCAACTTTCTCCAAACTCAAAGAACTTCAATTTTTATACTTGAAAGGAACAAACATTTCCAACATTCAGTTTGGGACATTTTCACATCAACATGCCGTGAAAATTCTTGACATTTCTGACAATCACTTAGGATATTTTGACTTTAACATGATTTTCTCAATGACTCGCTTAACATCTTTGGATATTTCAGGAAATGATTTAAGTTCGGTGGAGAATTTTGAATCAGCACATTTTACATTCGCATTGTTGCAAACAATTGACATAAGCAACAATAAATGGGCTTGTGGATATTTACTAAGACTAATAAAGATTTTCCGAATTTTCAAAGTTGTTCTTGTACGAAGTAATTTGGAGGAGAATAGAACAAATATTCATGGCATTGGATGTGTGCATGTTGAAGGTGATGACGTTGTTATTGAACCTTTAACCCCTGACAACAACAATTTAACAGAATTTCGTCAAAAAATAAACGAAGTTGTCGATGAGGTTTCAAAAGATTCGGATTTTAAATTAAACATAAAAACAAGAATGAAACAATTGGAGGAGAAATTTTATTATGATTCACGGGTTGAAATTTCAACTGCATCATTGCAATCTGAAAGTTCTCAAAGTATCAAAGTACAAAACAGTACACTTCTTGAAGTCGCGCTCATAATTGTCTGCATTTGGTTAATTGTTTTCATGACAATGAAAATGTTTGCATTCATTAAAACAAATTTCCTTGGGAGACCGAGACAAATGAGAGCAATGTCTGAACATACACTTTCTATGACTACTGATGACTATTAAATTTCATTTTAGAATATGCTATGTAAATATTTTAAATAAAATAAAATCTTTTTCCAGTTGATAATTCAATAAATTTTCATATATCATTGATCATGATGAACGGAAAGGAAAACTCTTATTTCAGTGAATAAGATAAACAAAAAAAAATTGTATCTATTCTCTTTTACTCATTGCTTCGTATGTTATTCTTTTCATTCCTTTAAATAAAACACAACGATTTATAATCATGCTCTGGCGATGATAATTTACAAATTTATGAACTGTAAAATCTTGTATTATAATTTTCCATACTCTGCATTTGGCATTTGCCATAAATCTCCGCACGAGAAGCTTCAAATTTATGTTTCCGAAAGTCTGTGCAGCTTTTCTCCATCCAAAATTCAATGCTGCTGGCTACTGCTACTGCTTAAAAATCTCTCTCAGCAGAAAATTTGAATAAATGTTTGATTTTCCTATTTTTTTATTCTCTCGCCAAGCGATTCTAACACGTCGATTAAGTTTTTGTATGCCACGCTCTTTTAGTCAGAAACTTTTGAGATACTTATATCGAAGAGTTTGAAAAAGACAAGGGGTATTTCATCGAAATAAATATGCCGGCAAAAGCACCATGAAGAAATAAAGCACTAGTGCTTTTCGAACAATCGTTTAGAGGCAGACGGAAAAAGTACTATGATGAATTTCCCCTTGGAAAAAGGAATTTCTGGAGAAAAATATAAAATTGAAAGAGAATGTTCGTTTTTCTCCTGAAGAATTTCATGTTTAAAACTTTGTTAACTCCTTAGTTACTTTAACAACCCACAACTTTATCTTTAATCCGACAGATTTCCATTAATAACTCGCGTCTGATAAATTAGTGAAGACTGAATATTACAAGAAGCGCTCTCATAAGCGCAGCGTGGAACCTTTGTTGGAAAAATGAAAGATATCAGGGCAGAAATTGATATATTAGAAATCAGGAATGAAAGAGAGAAGTAAAAACGAGCATTATATTAGAAGAAAAAATAATTGTGTTGAACCTTTCTTCTCTGGTTTATCATCTTCAGAAATATAATTTTATGATTAATGACTTCGTTTGTTCCAGAACATTTCATTTTTTCTGCTATCTACCATTCATATGCATAGAATGATAATTCATTGAATCTTGTTTTCTCATCTTTTTTATTTCATTCTCTCAACTCAAATTTCCCATTGAATGCTCATGAACTTCGGAACGAAAGGGAATATAACAAATCAATAAAAATTTGAAAATGCATTTTCTTTTATTGAACAAACAGTAATATTTTTCTTTTAAAAATATGCTACATAACAAATGAGTGGCGATAATGAAAACTTCTTTTAGTTATGGAGCTACGTTAAATATTTTATATATTTAATGATAAGCATTTGAATCGTGACTTCTAGTCTTCATACACTATTAATCTATAGAGTCTCACGAGTGCTTCGGAAAGTGAGGAAAATTTATGTGATACTTCCTAGGATATTTTGAAATAGGGTTCGCATAAATATATCTGTAGAGCTTTCTGTAAGAGGAAATAATTAAAGAAAAGCTGTTTTAAAAAAAATTAAAATAAACCTTTAAAAAGGTCACTTAAATAATTGTAAAAAGTAACTTAATTATAACAATCTATAACACAATCAAACCAAGCAATCTCTAATTTAAAATTGAATCACAGCGTGAAATCTTCGTCACTAACTTGAAAATTTATTTTAAAATTTCACCTCAGGTTTTAATATTACGATTTCAAAGTTCTGGTTTTTGACATTAAACTCAAAATAACAAAACTATCTGACAAATCTGATAGCATGAGTGGCTTAAATAAATAGTTTTTTCATTTCATTTCAATATTTTATATTCATCTCTCATCAATACTTTGCATTCTGAAATCTATTTTTTTTAATTGAAAATAACTTTCTTTATTTAGAATAAATAAATATTTTCTTCATCTCTTTCTTCTGCTGTTAAACTATCCAAACATTTATGAATTTTTCATTTTCTTTTATATACCCACTTTAAGAAAACAAAACTATCTACTTATGTATGTGTATGTGAGTCTATGCTAAACATATATATATTTATGCAAATCTTTTTCACTCACTCCTGCCATCTCATTTCCCATTGCGGAATCACTAAGTTAGATATATAAATAAAATGTTATTCTAGAGTTGCCTTGCGTCATCTACATACAATCTATTCAACTGCTGCATTATAATGAACTTTAATTTTATGCAATTCACATTTTTGGCTGTTAATTAATTGCAGTTTTTCTGCCTCTCTTGTTTCTCTGTTTCAAACTGGTGGGACTTTTTATGTGAGAACATGCAAAATCAGAGCTTTGTGGGGTGTGACGACCGAAATGATTTGCTATGACAACTTTACATCGTGACGCTATCAACTCACAAAAGCACAATATATTGTCTTTGTTCAGTGTGTTTGCGAGGAGATGTAAGAAATTATCTTGAAGATATTAAATGATGGTTGGTAGAAGTTGCAATTGCAATAAGTAATCGCCTCTTCACTGTGAAATAAAAAAAGCATAAAAACACAATTTATTATTCATTCAAATATCTTTGTTGATAGAATACTAAAAAAAAGATTCAAAGAAAAATAGTAAACAAAAAACTTTATATAAAAAAGTTTTTTTTCTCTTTCTCTTGTCATTTTAATTGAAAAGTCCTTTCGTGGTTTTGTGGTGAATGAAAAAGGTTTTTACTTTTTGTAGGTTAACTTCAAATAAGCAACTCTTCAATTTAAATAATTAAACTTAAATAAGAAAAGCAATATTTGTACAAAATTAAATTCTTTGGTCGTGTTTGTGTGATGTATTTTGTTGTTGCTTGTAGAGCTAGGTGAAATTTCTTTATTTCTTGTTAGTATTTCATATACGAGAGTTTATACTCAACTCTGCCCTTGATTAAATATATGTGTGATTGTAATATAATATATATATAATTAATATTTAAATTACCGGTAGATAAAATATTCCTCTTAAATTCCTATTTGTCTCTAACAGCTTAACAAACTTTAAAGTCCTTGATTACACAATGGAATTTTCATCTTGACATTTTCCTTTTTCCAAGACAAGAACTTTTTCACAGTTCTTTATCAGACTTATTTTGTCTTCATATTATTCCTTCCTTAATCTTTTTTTCTTTTGTCTTTTCGCATATTCAATAAATATTCCAACAAAAATATGTCATCATGAGAATAAAGAGACAAAATGAATAAGTGCAGCACTTAAAAATGAGACAAATAAATAAATTAGACACAAATTTCTCACTTTTAGAAGTGACACATTCCTCGAGAGTCGGCTTTTCTTTATTTTCCTGTCAAGATTGAAAACGGTCAAAGAAGGAGATGAAGTTTAAGATAAGACGAAAAACCTAATAAGCTCTAAATTTTTAAACTTTTTTGTGTCAGTTTCGACGACTCTGTGTGCAGACTTTTTCTTCGTTCAAAACAACAAAATTTTCTAGGAAACGCAAATCTTTATAAAATGTAATGACACAATTCCCTTGATGTTGACGTTTTCTTTCTTTTCCTGTATGTCGTTGGCAAGCAGTGATTTGACTTTGATAAATCGAATCAATTTTTCGTTCCAATTCTTAATGCTTTGTTTTTTTCTTTCTTCAAACAAGAACAGTTGACGACTCGTATTCAGATCATGGAATGTGACGTGACGATGTTTGTCATTTGACTTAAAACATTGTTTTCGATGGACGCATTACTTAATAGCTTTTTGTTTTTTATATTTGTAAATATATATGTATATATATGCTGATTCGTGCTTTCTTTCCTAGAATTATTTGAAATCAGCAATCACCATATGTAAAGATTGACGAAACAATTCTATACCGAACATAATATGGATAAGTCAGACATTTGTCGGCAGTCCTAACATTGTATGAAACATAAACAATACCATGAAATAATCGGACGTTTTTTCACGAAACGTCGGAAGGTGAAATTGTTTCAAAGTTTGATCTTCACAATTTATGAACATCAACGTCATCGACATTACTACAGTTGAATAAAATATAAATATTTATTTTAAAACTTTGCAAATGAATTGTAACGAAGTGGTAAACTAACAGGTCGGCCAAGCTGACATGTAACACGTTACACTTTCGATGTAGTTTTTAATTGTTCTTTTTTTCATTCATGTAGGAAAATGAAATATCGAATGTAAAATGCATGGGTGCATTGCATAATAATAAAAGCGAAATGAAAACTCGAACAAACATTTTCTCCTGTGTGAAATCTCATCACGCTCCAATAACTCTCAGAAACAACTGCCGTAGCAAAAAATCTTTTTTCTTTTAAATTTCATACTCCATCTTGTTTATTACGATTGAACACCGTGGGGTTTTGTTATTTCTTCTACTTCATCTCATTTTGTTTTAATTTTTTTTGAGTCAGTGTAAAGATAATAAAAATCTGTATTTGATTTTAAGAAAGTTTTTTAATATTCATTAAAATGTTAAAGTAAAATGAAACGTCTGATACTAAAGAAGAAGCTGCATCAAATGCTTTGTAAACTTACTTCTTCTTCGATATAGATCGACGAAAAATCATAACAAAACACTTTTTGCTTATAAATATAATCATAAATTTCTGTTTTCCTTTCTCCTAGGAGTCGCAGTAATATGCGAGAGGGAGAAAGACTGAAAGACAATTTGTGTGTCTTTATATTTGACATCGTTTTGTTACATGACTAATAAATTTATTAGATGATGCTTTTGGGTAAAGTATCATGTTTGACAAGAATTCTGTATTCAACAAAGTTTAAGATAGTGGATTGTTTTGAAAATAACGTCGCATTAGTATATTTAGTGACATGAGATTCCTTCAAAAGTTTTGTTTATCCTGCTACAATATATTTACACACTACAAGCCTCTATTTTAACACAACAATCAAAGTATTTCTCATTCTCAAAACATTATGTGCTCCTTTTGTTATTAATGTTTCATCTTAGAATATGAATGTGTGATTTTATGCTTGATATTTTGCAACATGAAGACAACAATATTACTTTAAATAAAGGGATGCTACTTACGCTTCTGATGATAAGAAAACATTTCGCTTTACTACTTGCGTCAAACAAAATCGATGTTCAAATTTAATTAAAAATTTCAACATTTGATATATGTAAATATTCAATACAAAGATTTCAAATATGAGATTCACCAACACGTGACGAAGACAAAAGTCAGGGTTTAAAAATTGTTCTTAATTTTAAAAAGTTGAAATCTCAAATATCTTCTGCTTCCGAATATTTATTTACAATTTCAATTCAAGTCCCTGAATGAATTTCAATAGTTTTTTTTGTCATTCTCTATAAACTATTTAGAAAGAGTTGGGTCGACGTTTAGTCCTTGGTTGAGTACATTTAATGAAAGAGAAGCAATTCAACGAAATAATCTTCTGAAAGTTTTGAAAACTGAATACTCAAAAAAAATATTTAATAATCTCAACAAACGCTGCCACATCGAGCTCAACTCTCAATTTATTAAAGTTCTCAATATATAAATGTGATAACGGGAATTGGTTAGTTGGTTTGGATTTTAAAGAGAACCTGACAGTAGTCATAATAGTTACTCTCACGAGTAAAGACCATTAGGTTATAATCTACATCGCTTAGACATAAGCAATGATGTCGTTTCGTGAGAAGTTAAAATTGGTTGGGTTTGCAGTTGGAATTTTCGCTTGCTACACTACATTCGGAGTCATTACTGAGAAGATATTTCGTGGACGATACGGCGATGAAGTTAGCGATGATGGCAAAGTTGGCGAAACGTTTAAATTTCCCATCACATTTGGTGGAATGCAGTGCATATTTTACATGTCATTTGCCAAAGGTTTGCTTCTTGCTACATAGTTTAACAACATAAATATGTAGGTCAAGCTTAACTTAAATATGAATTCTTTTTTCAGCACTTATGTATACACATGACCATCCAAAAAATGAAACTCATCAGGGATTTTACGCACTCATTGCAATATTCTATGTTTTGGGGAAAGTGACATCACATTTATCATTGCAATGGATACCGTATCCAACACAAATAATTGGAAAAGGTATAATATATTTTGGATCGGAAAAATGGATTGGATCGCCGATCGAAAAATTAAAATATAGGATCGTGAAAATGGATCGCCGGTCCATGGAAAAAATGGATCGCGGATCGGATCGCCGATCCATGAAAAAAATAGATCGATGATCCGACTTTTTCCATGCCCTTTTTTTCTTAAGGTTCAGATTTCTCAAACATTTTTCTACTCCTTAGTGTTTGAAGGGGCAAAACTACAATTTTCGCCGAGGGGTAGGAATTTTTTTACAAAATTGAAATTTTGCCCCTTTGAACAACAAGGGGTAGAGAATTAACAAGATTGGCGCTTTTAAATGAAGGGCATGGTATTTATTTTTTTTATAGTGGATCGTGGATCGGATCGCCGATACATGGGAAAAACGGATCGGCGATCCACTTCAAAATTTTGGATCGCTTAACTGGATCGGCGATCCAAAACATTCTTGGATCTCCCAACTCTAATTTACGACATTATTTGCTTATCTCCATTAATTTGACATGAGTTTCTAAAATAAATAACTAAATATTTTAGCATCAAAACCGATTCCAGTGATGCTTTTTGGAGTGCTTATTGGTGGTAAAAGAATCAAAATTCGAAAAGTGATTTTCGTCTTGATGATTGTATTTGGCGTTATGTTGTTCGTGTTCAAAGACAAATATGAAAAGAGAGATGGCGAAAATCCGCGTTTAGGAAATACATTGATTGGAATTAGTCTTTTAATGGATGGACTATGTGGAGCTTCAGAAGACCGAATGAGATCAATATCAAAACCTACGCCACTCAATTTCATGCACTTTGTTAATGTTTGGAGTTCAATTATCCTTGTGATTGGAACTTTTGTGTTTGGAGAAGCTCCAAAGTTTGTCAATTTTATTACAGCACATCCCGAAATAATAAAATATTTAGCACTGGCTATTATGACTGGAGGTATTGGACAAATATTCATTTCGTCGATGGTGTCACATTTCGGGCCACTGCCCTTATCAATAGTAACAACAACAAGAAAGTTTTTTAGTGTTTTCTTATCTGTAATTATTTTTGGAAACTCATTAAGTGCTAGACAGTGGACATCAGCTGGAATAATATTTGGTGCACTCTTCTTGGACGCTGTCTTCAATAAGAAGTCCAAAATAAACACTGTTAGCGATGAAAAAACTGACGAACAAATGAACAATAATGAAGTAGGTAATAGTGAAGCGAATGGGGATGATGTTGTCAAGAAAGAAATTAAAATCTCTGTAATAAATCTTCCAAACGACAAATATTAGATATTCAAAGTAAAGAAAGGCTGAAAACATACGGAATTTATACAGATTTATATATTTGTAAATAAATTATGTTATTGATATTCATTCACCTAGAAATTTATTTCTACTTTTGTTCATCTACGCATAGAAATGAGATTTTCTTTCGATTTCTCTGATTTTTCCGTTACAAGCATTTCCTTAAATATTTGCTTTAATCGTCCAAAAGCATGAATTCAAATAGCTTAACTTATTTAGTAATCTTTATGCTGCATGCTTTTTATAAACATATGTGGGAGTACTTCAACTGAAATCTTCCATGTGAGTTTTTCCTTCTCTGAATGTACCTACTTAATGGAAATTTGTTTTCCGCATTATTGTTTTTTTCTATTTTTTTTAGCTTCAAAATGGTTTTCAATTTAATATTCAATTATTGAAGTGTATGTTAACTTTTAAGAAATAACTTGAGAGTGTTTACGCATGAAGCTTGAATTTCATATTGATTTGAAGAGAATATTGCAAATTAAACGACTTTTCCTTCTTCCGCACATCTCTTAATGAATATTCTGCTAATGACTAAAATAAATTATGACATGAGAGACGTAACGATCTCAACTTTTACTTTTAATTTCTTTTTTTTTTCTTTCTCACGCGAGAGATTCGCTTTATTTTGTAATAGAATCCTTTTTGTTGTCACTCGCACTGCGACATATGTTGATGATGAGAAATTTTTTCCTACTCTGCTGCTGTCTCTTGGTGTTGTCAACGACACTTTATTCAGATATTATCAAACAATGCCTGCTGAGTGTTATGAAGAATAGAAGAGTTTTTGATAGCTTCGCAGAAACTTCATGGGTTATGTCGAGAAATGTTTCTTGTAATATTTGATTCCATTACAACCACTAAAGATATGTTGATGCGATTATTTGCTTATGAGAGAATTTATTTTTAATTGTTTATTAAAACTTTAGAGCAAAACCCTTATTCGTAGTTTTCCTAATTAGAATATAAAAAAAAAAGTTAATTTTACTTACATGTTAAAACTATCAAGCTTTATGACGCAATAAAACTTTCATCTTTTGCCACCATATACAATGGAAAATTAATCATTGAAGCAGACGAGAATTGTTTGGCTCTTCTATTTATAGAATCGAGAATATCTTTCCGTGCATTTACAATAAGCGTTGTTCACCCCATAAAAATATATCGTTTAGGTAAATTATACATGACAGTAACGAGGGAAATTATGTTGCTCTGTATAATATGTACGAACAGAAATATCTATTAAAGTTTGTAATAAAGACACGAGTTAATATGTTCAATGAAGCTGAATGCTTTTGCTTATGTTCATTGTAGCAGGAAAGGAGTGAATGAATGTATCGAGAACAGTCGATGGTTTTAGATAAAATAATTTTTCAAGCTTTCTTTTGTTAATCGACGAACATCACGTATATAAAGAGTTTGAATGATAATTTTAATAATGGCGAGTGTTATCAACATTATTGCATTACATAAAAAATGGTGAACTGAACATAAGAATCATTAAATCAATTTGATTCCATTTTTCTATAGAAAAATAGAAACTTCTTCGATAAAAATTCTTAAAGCATACACATTCAGGCCTCCATCATATGAAACTTACAGGAAATCTAGATGGCCGAGTGGAAGGAACAATAATTAATACGAACGAATAATCCGGAGGGATAAAAAGTAGCGATGAAAAATCGCGATATGGCTTAATGCGACCAATTTGCAAAGTCACGTACAATATGAGCTGTTTGTGACACAGAAAAACATCAGTTTAAAGCGATAACTTTGAGATATGAGATAGAAGTCGATGGAATGAAAAATTCGTGCCAATCGCCAAACTCACGATTTCCATGATCTTTGATGTCATTTCCAACGAGTTCTGTCTTTTATTTCACTGATGATACTTCTTATAATATTCGAAACTTTAGGATTATCAATCGCTCGATATTTGATTCAACACAAAGATGTTTCCTTGAAATTTACGTTCTACTTTTCTACTGCAAAATTTCAGTGACGCTAAAGATTGTTGAATCAAATTCACTTACCTTTCGGATTTGATACGCCACTGCAACAAACTTACGTTTCCATCATTGTATAAACATGCACAATTGAAAGAAATTTTCAGAATAAATTACTTTCTCCATTGAGATGAATACAATAAAATATCACAGTGCGTGTCTTGAATCGGAAATGTTCTGAAAACAGTTCAGGGAAATTCAACTTTCTTTTGATACTCATCCTTTAAATTCCCTAAAGGTTTTTGTAATGTTATTAACAGGAAGAAGTTTTCTAGAATTATACAAATAAAAGGTTTACATTTTTTAACTTATCCATTATAAGTTCTTCCAACTCTTCTTTTGTTTTTTCAACTCTCCTTCCACTTGAAATCGAACAACATTACTCAGCTATCTGAAGAAACTTTTTCTCCTTCATCGCGTGAATAATTGAGTATCTTCTTTAATAACTGTTTACTAATGATGGCATAATGAAGCAAGAGCTCGCATACGAAGCAATTTATCACCCACATCGACAGTATCAAGGAAAAAAAAATTTAACATTGGAAAATATCGACACATTAAGCTTCCGTGTTATAAAAAAATTTTGATGTCCTTTCAGCAGTTCCTGAAAAAAAAGAAATGGCTATGACTATGTATCGGAAGTTATTGTAACGAAGTGAGAAGGAGAGAAAAGTGAATGGCAGATTATAATTGCTTTACACCTCAAAAAAATTCCTTGTAATGTACAAAAAATAGAAAAGAAAATGAATCGACTTCTTAGATTTTCTCACAAAAAAAGAAGAGGAAAAAGGAAGGGAAGAAAATCGAGGGAAAGGTCGAAATCATTGGTGGCTGTTGACAAGTGTCGTAAACGAAAATTCATTGCCTTGAATCAAATTAATAGAATATAAAACATTTAAGAGTTAAACTTTAGAATACTCCCCAGCATAATTTATTTCTGCTTTCTCATTATTTTCTCACCAAATTTTCTTTTTTCCAAGTCATTGCAATTTTCATTTTGTTGTCAGACTTCCTTCAAGAAAGCTTCAAAAGCATAACTAATTGTAATAAAATATGTAGTGTGGCCCTAAATAATAAAGCTTTTATTATGTTTTCTCTTATCATAAATTACTATTCCAATACTTTCTTACAATTTCCCTTTTGTTGCGTCACGTTCATGTGAAAGAGCAGAAAAGTGGGAAAACTTCTTTTTTTTTATTTGCAAATTCATTTCTATTAAATGCTTTCAGAAGAAAAATGTAATTTTTCAAACAACATTCGGAATTATTTTCAGGAATTTAATTTTTATTTTTTGATGAAACTAAATTTCTCAAATCACAATTTTAAAATTTATTTATTTATTCATGAGTTTTGAAAGCAAATACGAAAATATGTTATTTAATAAGTCAACATTCCGAATCTCAAATACAAAATGTTGAAAAAGAAATTATTCAAGAGTCTTTTAGTAAATATTTTTCCAACACATTTTCTCATTTTCAGTGTTTCTGTTTGCTAAACATGAATAAATTATTCATTCTCGAACATCAGATTGAGTAACCGAGTTCCAAAAACTTCTAATACTTCTTCTCAATTAATCAAATATTTTCAATAAAATATCTGAAATGTTTGTTGATTTAATATATCTTGAATGATCTTTCAATCTAAAAATGCTTCATTCATGATATTTATGATAAATACTTAAAACTCACATAACATTCAAGAAACATTAAACGATGGATTCATGTTTGCATTCTATGCTTAATAAAATTATGCTTAATAAATGCAGCATGAGTACTGAAACCTTAAAAGCATCAACTATTAATGAAAATTGTTTCATTTGCCAACTCGATGTCATATTTAAACTAATGCTAACTTCATCAACTACCATTTGGTAATTTCAAAATTGAAACACAAAAATTGATAACAACTACCTACATACATTATAAACTAATAGTTTGTGTCAATGTTTAATTTTTAAAAGAAAAGTTTTTCATTTCTCTCCTTCAACTTTCAACTTTTCAACAGAATATGATAAAGAAATGTTCCGAAAAGTGATCTAACCAGAAACATAACTCTATTCACATCAAATATTTAATTTGACAGCAAAATAAAGGAGCGCAAAAAGCATAATAAAACACAAACTTCATTTGTCATTCATGGTTTTTGTAGATTTATTTTCCATTTTGTTATTCCTGAAATGTTTTTCTCTTGCAAGGTTAACTTTTGAATTACCAGGGATACTCCGAATGATAATAAATATTTCAGGAGAGTACAAAACGAGAAAAATAATGATGTTTGCTTCGCATAATTGCAATCTAGGGACGAAGGATTCAACAGTGTTTCAAGTTTTTTAGTTTGAACTGTCTTCTTTTTCTTGACACGACAAACAAGTTGGAGGTCGAGAGCTGATGAAATAAAGTTTCAGATAAGTTTGATATGTGTGCGTGTGTGTGTAGTGTTATTTATATTCAGAATTCATGAGAGATGTTGATGCTACTTAAAGTGTGTCATTCTTTGATCCATAAAACTTTTTTTCTGCTAAGAAGATATTCGAAATTCGTAAAGACAAAAAGATCTGGAAGGAATAAGTTTTCTGAAATGAAATACGAAATCAAAACAAGCATATGCACAATCACCAAGTTTTTCATTTAACAAATTGAGAAAGAAAAAAAAACGAAACAAATAATATTTTATCACTTTTGTAACTATAATTTCTCAGTTTCAAATTTTATTTAGTTTTCATTATTTTTCTTAAATGAACGTTCCTTAACAACTGAAAGTGTTTGTTCACTGGATCTATCTGTAAATACATTCATAACTTCATACATTGAGTTAGGTTTTCACAACTTTTGCTCTCAGTTGTCAAAAGTTAAAGTTTTATTCAAGTTCAACATTTATCTTTTCGATAGTTGTAATAAAATTGCGAGTTATGTGCAGTGAATAACTTAATAGAATAAACAGAATAGTTGAAGAGCGAGAAGGATAAGAATGCAATGAAAATTGTTAATTTTTTTAAAATTTTATGGTCTCAAATACTGATTCAAAATTCAATTCTTAAATTCCTGGTTCTCATTGAAAGTTCAAAACGAATTAAAAGTCATGAAACTTTCTTTCATAAGTAATTAAAAATGTGACAGCAATAATCCTGCTTTCATTTCTTTCACCCTCTCAGCTACTCAACGAAACATAAGTAAATTTTGGTTTTCTATTTAGATAGATATTTAGTTCCAAAATGCCATAAATTTTTTTTATTCTTTTAAAGAAAGTTATAACATGAAGAAAGTTTTATGGGAAATCAATTAAAAATCCAAAGAACTTCTGAAACGAAATTTTTTTCTTGTTCTATTTTTCATTTCGCTGCTCAAGGAAACGTTTTAATTCAGTCTTCAGAAACATTATACAGCATTTTAAGATAATTGAATTATTTTTCAGCTACATTTTTATTTTGGAAAATAAAGAAATTTTTCAACAAGAAAAAAGAAAAGTTTATGGAAACAGAAAATTTAATTTTCTTTTTCTCCCAATTCACTTTATCATTTGGAATGAGAAAAAGAAAGAGAAAAGCATTTTATTTTTTCTTCATTTCTGTTTTCGCGAGAATTATTCCCTGAAAATGCCCAAACTTCTTTCGTATTTCTCCTTCTGCTATTTTTGTTCTGGAAAATTTATTTTGGCACTTTCCACCACGCCCTGCTTATGTGTCACTCAACTTTTTGTTATAAAATTTATTTCCTTTTTTTCCTCTCTCTCTCCCTCTCTCTCTTTCATTTTTTCCTTTATTATTCCCAGCCATCATCTATTTCTATCAGATTCATTCTCAGCCTATCAGTTATGTTGGGAGATCGCCTTAAAATTTTTTTTTTGCTTTCTTTGTTTTCATTTTATTTATTTATTGTGTATAGGAAAAAGTACAACTTGAACTTAGTAATGTTCACCATCTCGAACATGCTAAGGGTCTGAGACATATTGTTCTTTCTCAGAATAGTTTCTATACTTCAACACACTTTTCATGTCTTTCTAATTCTAGCTCGAATAGATTCTCAATGAGAATAAGACATAAACTCAAAGAAAATCTTCAACATTTCGAAAATCAGCAGGAGAAAAATAAACTAGATCAGAATTTGATTTTGTTTTATTAACAACTTTCCTTAACATTTATCTAATGATTACTCAATTACTATTACTCAATTTATATATTTTTTTATGTTTCCCTTTTTGTTTTGCTCTTATATTTGGTCCTATGGCAATAAAAACTTTATTTTCCGTGTTTTATTTTGTGTTTTTCTTTTTTAACAAAGAATTTCATTTTATTCTTTGAGAAGTATTTACATATCAGTAATTCGGACATATTTAAACTTTGATAATCTTCTAGAGTCTTAAAATCTTTATTTCTCCCCTCTCGTCCCACCCAAACAATATATAAATGTTTTCCTTTCTGAAGTTTCCTTTTATAGCTGTGCTATCACGAAAAATATTGAGTTTCCTTTTCGAAAGCTTTTACATCATAACAAAAGTGACAGGAATGTAAAGTGAATTTAGAGAAAAGGACTGCCCGAAGAAAGATGAAGTGACATACAGCTAAATGTCCAGCTATTTGCTAAAAGTGAAAATCGATGCCAATTTCTTCAAAATAAATTTTTATTTTCGCATCAAGCTTCCATCTTACCGACTTTACTGAATGTGAATTTTCTTATTAACTTTCCGTCACTCTTTCACTGTAATTTCTCCATGACGAATTCAATCGAATTAACGTGACATTCGCACAAGCATAACTTGTACGTGATGAATTAAATCTTTCTCTGTAATTCAACTCTCGGCAGAGTTACTTTTTTTTTATTGCGACACTAATGTATGGTTTACGGTGTCGAAATTAGAGCGAGCTTTCCTTCCATTGCTTTAGCCGAGAATGAAAACCATTTTGTCGGACTGAAATTGGATTTATATCTGTTTCAGCTAGTCTTCTCCTTCAAGCTATTTGAAATAGTAAAACAAGAAGATTTAGTTTCGACATAAAATGAATTTCTATTCACTTCATCATCTTCGGATGGTAACAAAAAAAAGTAGAAGAAGAAAAAGCTTAAGAAAAGATTTTGAGATCTTAATAAATATTTCAATCCATTCGCGTTTGTGATGAAATAGGCAAACATTGAGAAGAAGACATTCTCAGTTCATTCATCGTCTATGAGTTACTTAACCATATTTAAGTGGGTTCGCGGTGATGAAAAAGTACTTTGAAATATCTCTTGTAATATTTTCTGTTCCTACAACCGCTATCTCGGTTTGGAGATAAGAAAAAACAACTAAAAAAAGAAATGATAAATAATAACAACTTTTATATTCTCCGTTTTCATATTTATCTTCATCTGATGATGGTCAGAGCATAAGAATTCTTATCATTCATTTTCTTCACAAATAAATGTCCTGAATTTCATCATCAAATGTGACTTAACGTCATACACGCAATTCATCCATTGGATTCTGTTGTGATGCAGAATTTCCACTTTGATGTTGTTGCTGATTTTGTTGATGTTGTTGATGCTGATGTTGATGATGATGATTCATATTATTTTTAACACAACTTTTCTTCGTCAACGTACTGCAATTACTTCCAATCATTTGTAAAGCGTGTGGCGGTAAAAGTGGAGCATCGACAGATTTTAAATGTTTTGGAGCTGGTGGAATGCGTTGTGGTAGATCAGCAAATTCGGGTGGTGGAAGTTGATGCATCGAGTGATGATGACCAAGAATTGTAGTTGGATCACTCTTGGCATGAATTGTAAGAGTTTCTAAGTCACCACAAATATTATTCGGCATTTGTCCATTCTCAGTACGCTTCTTCATTGTTCTCGGTTCATTCAGACGCGTTTTATCTCGTTGATAATAGACACCAGCAAAGATTAACACATTTAAAATTAAAAGTGAGCATCCAATGGCAATAGTGACACTAAGGGCTGTTGAATATGCCGCAAAACCATCTTCCGATGGTGGATTTGATGTTGCATTTTCATCGTATAAATCATGATCAATCGATTGTACAGGAACTTGATTTTTGGTTCTCGCTGTGTTGGATGAAATATTTCGATTACTTCGCAACGATGATGTGTAGTTAAAAAGTAATGACGTGGAATACATTGTGCCATTTGCGATAGTCAAATTGAACTTATCACGCTGTGGAGTCAAAGGTTTGACAGTTGATTTCTCTTGGGTACCATCATCATTCTCTAATTCATGATGTGACAAAGGAACGTCATCATTACCGGGTTTATGAAGATCCGGAATGAGATTCAACCAAAAAGAAAGGCGATGGGCACGATAGTGATTTTTTAACTTCGGTTTTAGATCTGTAAAAATTAATAAAAAAATAAATGTAATTTCAGTTAATTAAATTTTGTTATCTCAATAAAATATATTATACGAATCGCTCTACTAAACATGATTCAAATTAAAATGAGACAATCAATGAGAAAATTAAATTAATTTTGTAATTATTTGAAAGCATTAACTCGTGTGTTCGATATGAATAAATAAAGTGAATTGTTTTAATACATAAATAGCTCGTATAAATCCTTTTAAAATATCTAAACATCAACTTAACCCAAAAAGTTTATTTTCTAGTAAGTATCGATGTGCTTTTTTTTACACACATATTCAGTTAACACAACCCGGCAGCTCCCTAAAAGGTTTTCATGTTATTTTTGATTGCTTATATTGTGTAAGCCCTAAACTATGGTGGTTTAAACAAATTGTTATATTGACTTTAGCTCCTTCATTTCTCAGCTCATATTGAAAAATAGGAAGCAAAACTTATACCCATTTCAAGTTGATAGAGCTGGGCGTGTGTGGGAGTAGGAGGGGAAGTCAAAGTTGACGCTGAATTTTCAAGCTTCGAGCTGAAATCTTTAATAATTTCATTTTAAAAACTCTCGAGTATGATCTAAAACGCAGGAAAAAAAAGAAATTTTTATCCTTCATCTTACTGTAGGGTTGTCACGTCACGCCATGACGACATGCATGACGCCGTGGCGTGACGTCATGCATGACGACACGGCGTCATGCATGTCGTCATGGTGGATGTTTTTTTGTATGGGAGTTTTTTAAACTAATTTTACACATAGAAAAGTTGGTTTTATATGTACAATGTTTTCTTATGATATGTTTAAATAGCAATTCTGAACATATCTTTCATACAACATAAAGTTCTAAAACCTACGCATTGCGAGATAAATGAATTTAAATTTTCCATATGAAACGTAAGTATGATATTTTTCAAAGACAACTTTCATTCTTTAGCTACAAATCATAAACTATCAGTATTAGGTATAAAGTATATTTGAGAAAGTTGTTCCTTGATACATTCTGCAACTTTTTTCAATAGATTGTATTTCTGTAAGGTGACACCAGAGGGCGCTGGAAACAAATTAACTAACAATTTATCTCCAGCGCCCTCTAGTGTCACTTTACAGAAATACAATCTATTAAAAAAAGTTGCAGAATGTATCAAGGAACAACTTTCTCAAATATACTTTATACC